TGATGGAAAAACTTTAGTATCTTACATACCACGAGCAAAGAAGAATGTAATTCTCGTATCCACACTACATGACGACAACACCATCGATCCTAAATATGAAGAGAAACAAAAGCCAGAGATAATAACTTTTTATAATTCCACCAAGAGCGCTGTCGATACTGTAGATCAGATGTATGCTACCTACAGCATGAACCGAAATGTGAAGCGGTGGCCGATGGTAATATTTTTCACAATGTTGAATGTAAGTGGTATTAACTCCCAAGTAATTTACCTCGGCAATCGACTGGAACAATTACAAAGACGAGTTTTTCTAAAAACATTGTCCCACCAGCTGACGATGGGACAGCTTACTCGAAGAAGTATGAAGACAGTCGGAATCAATACCAAGCTCCAAATGCGACTAAAACGGTTCCAACCCATCAATGAAGCTGATGACTTAGAAAATTCAACTCCTCCACCTCCAAAAAGGCGTAGGTGTTCAACCTGTACAGATGAAAGGAATTTCAAAAGGATGACAAATTATGAATGTAAAAAATGTCGGTCTGCAATGTGCATGTCTTACGTAAATATGGTGTGTGGTACCTGTTACGCTGCATGTCAATGTCGGCCTTCTGCCGAAGAAACTGACACTGAATGAACAAGACAACAATAATTTTTTATATGTATTATTTTCTTTAATAAATGCGTTTTCTTTTCAATATACTTTTTTTCTTGGTTAAAACTACCATTGAACATCAATAGATGCTTTTAAAGTGCTAATTAAGAATGTGTGTTGCGATTGTTACAAGTGTGTCTGTCAGGCGCATTGCGCCAGAATTTGTTTGCACTAATATTGCGCCCAACTTGTATTTTTTTTGTGGACGATATAAATGTAATAAGGTTACTTTCTTGAATAAAGTATTATTATTATTAATTGGGGCGGAATTCAAACGTGTTGAAAAGAATTATGGCCAGGAGACTGAAAGACTATAGCACATGGTGCTAGAAAGAGTGGACACAAACCATACAAGATGCATCATGTTGCAACTAAAGACGTTGTTGTCTGGAAAGATGTAGCCGATAATCACATGACAATAAGGAAAGTGGACACTGAAAACAAACCGGTACTATTCCAGAAAATTCCTAATCTCATAATTGCTACCAGATTGGAAGGCCGCTTTGAATTCTAGGAATAATAACAAAAAGTTTTTCCTTATTTTCTTTTCTTTGTATGTTTGCTGGTTTCTAGGTAAATCTTGCAAAAATATTGAAGTCCTCGTTGATTTGTGAGATTTTTAATAGAATAATGGAAAATGTTAAAATTAAATTTATGATAATTTTTTTAATTTGTATTTAATTTAATCAATTTAAACATTACAAAAAATCAACATAAATAAATTACATTTACTATTTTCAGACTTTCTTGTTACCTTTTCCTCACAGCATTGGAATACATACAAGAACAACCAGACGGGATAGAAAATTGTTCTAAACCTAAGGAGTCATCCTCATTTACAACAACCAATCTCACAACAATGAATTGAGTCTCACAAGAACTTGATACACCAATTGGTAAATACTCTTTTCCTACATAACATTCTTCCCCATCACTATAAATCATAAGATTAGAACAATATTAAACGATTATTTAATTAAAATTACTTACTAACAAGATTCAAAAGTAACCGTTTGTCTATAACCCGGAATATTAACGATATTTTTCTCGTGGTTATCAATGGTAAATCCTTTTTTTGGGAACATCGTAATACGTTTGGTGGAGCACATATTAGATTTTGCATCAATTACACCTCCAAATCTAGTTTCTAACGTAATGTTGGTTGCTGGTTTATCAACGACATTTCCAAAAAGTTGCAGATAATTTTCATATTTTGAATCTTTCACGATTTTTTTCGTTTGGTGTTCATTATAAGTCTTCGAATTTTTGCATAGATTATAAATGCAATCTTCCGTTGAAAATATTTCATTAATTCTGATTTCTTTGGGTGTGGGTAAAGCCTTTAATAAAAATTTAATTCAATAAAAATTCGTATTGCAATTAATTAATTATTACGCTTACCATAATCAATTGGATTGCACAAATAAAAATGATTGATTTAACCATCATTTTTCTTTGTTGGTAAGAATGAAGTGTATTGGGCAAGATGATCTTCTCAACTAAGTGTTTAAACGGTTTCGTTCGAGTTTATATTTCATTCGATCTTATTTAATCTAACAGGGATTAGTCCTAACCGCGTCAACATCCTCTGAAAACCCAACTATTTTTTTTTTTTAGTTTGTTTAAAAAGATTTCCCCATCATCATTTGTAGGTCATAAAATGTATTAAACGTTTAAATGTGGGTGTACATATCGTGTTTACTTATATTTTGTGGAAAGAATTGGTGACTAATGTAATTTTACGTCGCCAAAACATTTCTTTTTGTTCCCATTCGAATTTATTCAGTTTCAACGAATGCAAGTTACCTAAAATCTGATTATATAAAAATATATGGAATTCGATGAATTAATATTCAAATAAAGATGATATAACATTCTTCATCACTTAGGTTTTTCTGACTCTCCGGAGTTTTCTGGCACGAACATGTTAAAATGATTTTAAAATTAACATTAAATTAATAAAATTTATTAAAATTAAAATAAAAAACATTTTGAAGCAAATTTAATAAAGATTTAATGTGCTATAAAGAATTTCTTATTTTCCACAAACATCGTTGTTACGGTTTTTTGAACCCAACTCTGCATGTTTGATTATTTTTAATATGAAATGTAAATTTTAAAGAATCGTATCTCAAAAACGAATTGAGATATCATCATGAAACGAAGATCATTTTAAAGCTAATTTAATGAAGATGTAATGTGCCATAAATAATTTCTTATTTTTCATAAACATCGTTGTTATGATTTTTTAAACCCAACTCTGCATGTTTGATTGTAATAGACGTGAAACATAAATTTTAAAAAAATCGTATCTCAAGAACGAATTGAGATATCATCATGAAACAAAGATCATTTTAAAACTAATTTAATGAAGATGTAATGTGCCATAAATAATTTCTTATTTTTCATAATCATTGTTGATATGATTTTTTGAACCAAACTCTGCATGTTTGATTATTATTAACTTGAAATGTAAATCTTAAAGAATCGTATCTCAAAAACGAATTGAGATATCATCATGAAACAAAGATCATTTTAAAGCAAATTTAATGAAGATTTAATGTGCCACAAATAATTTCTTATTTTCCATAATCATCGTTGTTATGATTTTTTAAACCCAACTCTGTATGTTTGATTATTATTAATATGAAATGTAAATTTTAAAGAATCGTATCTCAAAAACGAATTGAGATATTATCATGAAACAAAGATCATTTTAAAGCTAATTTAATGAAGATGTAATGTGCCATAAA